CCTTCCCGCTTCTTCCCCACAGCATGGTCAGGTTTTCATTGACGGGATCAGAGCCAACCTTTTACTTTAGTCTTTCCAGGTATGCCATGTCAAGCTTTCATCTGAAATGGTATGTTGTCACCTCCATGACATGAGAACTGAATTATACCCTGAGACTTTACTACTGGGGTTTCCACCTACCCTACTCTTCCCTACCTATTCTATTCCAGGACCACGTAAACACCAAAATACTCTTTTCCTAAAGAGCAGAAAAGCAGTACTCTAGTGACTCTGAAAGGTATGGCTCACCTCAGAGGAAACCTCTTTTATAGCCATCATTTTTTGGTAGTAGAAGACAATAGAAAATAAATAGCTATCTTGGAAATGGAGGACTGACACCTCAAGTCAGGGGTTGAAATCCCAGCCTAGTTCAAGTGGTGGTGGTGGTGCTTGTAAGATTTCATCCACAGAACTGATTTGCTGCTTTTGCTGTGCAGGACACGTCCTTTCACACCATAATGAGATGATCTCATTGGAAGTAACCTTATTTTTGCCTTAGGTGAGGATTATTTCCAGGAACGGTTCTACTTTCCCTCTTTGTTGCACTGAATACCTTTTCCAAGGCTCTAGGCTTGATTGGTCATCACCCCTTGAGGAAGAAAGAAGCAACCATTGATCCTGGGTGGATTGTGGGTGTCAGGAGGGATCTGCAGCCCAGTACTTAGTGTGAAAGCTTTAAGGAAATGCTGTTTCTGTAGAGGCTGTTGCATACCTGTTTGTTATCAAAACAAAACACTTTTTATTGGGAAGCAGAGCACAGATGCGAGCTAAATGTGAGAACAGAAGAGAAACCTACAACACCTGGAGGGGAGGAAATAGGCAGTTCTACAAGTTAAAATCCTTTTCTTTTTCCTTCTCTCCCTAACTTCCTAAGCAAAACACTCCTGCTTTTATCTATGTTCCAAATCCTGAAGCGGGTGGTTACATCTGAACTGGACAGAACAAAGTACAAAGGGTGAAATCTACAACTTGTCCTTGTCTTTATCTGGCACCTTTAGGCGTGGTGGTCTGGCCAAGTGAAACACCATTGCTGTATGTCACAACAAGCTATCTTAATACAACACAATCCCATTTATCTTAGTAAAACACAAACTTTGGTTGTGGTGACCTACTTACGCAGCACTTTTGGGAAAGCGAGGAACTTACTATAGCTGCCCCCAGGTCACAAAACAAAATGCGTGTGCTTTCTAGACGGCCCAAATGAGTTTGTTACAGCTGATAGGTAAAAGACACTTCTCTGAAGATAATTGAGCATTGCACAGATCACTCTGGACCTACTGGAGTCATAGGTTTCAGTGTACAAATTCCCCTTTGACTCCTACTCGGTGTCTAGAGCGGGTTTTTCTCAGATTCTCCTTCTGGCGGAGTCATCCTCTCATCAGACTGGTTTTTAATACTGGTAGGTCTCTTGAGACAACTCCCTTGCAGCCTACCCCTGCAGGTCAAAATTGGCCCGACTCCTCTAGTGGGCACATAGAGCAGAAGTGCTGTTGAGTCCAAGTCTCCTTTTGAAGCTGTGCTGTCTGCTATTTCTACTGGCTTCCTGAACGGCATGGGGATTTGCCTTGCTTGAAGTGCCCATAGCGGCTATTTTGGTCTTGCACCTGCAAGTGGAAGGTTTCTTTGTCGTCTTTGACTCCACCAGATTTCAGTGAGAGACTTCTTGAGATGCTTTTTCCAGCCAAGGACCCTGTCCCTCAGTGGAATTTTACCCTCTGGCTTTTTTCAGCAGGCCAACACTGTAATGAGCCAGTGGCTCTTATTGCTTCTTCGTCTTTTTCTGACAACTATAAGATTATGGTTGAATAAATAGTTTTGAAGAACAGACTTGAAGCCCTGATAAGTAGAGATCTTGGATTTAAATAATTGTCCTTGATAAAACATTTTTGAGCCTACTTTTCAACTTCCATGTACATCATCTTGTTTTCCGCACTAACACCCCAGTGCGTGCTTCTTGGGTTTACGATAGCAACACACATAGCAGGGTTCATTAATATTGCTCCCCTTACTCCCCTAACCTAGCAGAAATACATGCTAGAAAAGACAGCAGTAGGAATCTAAAATGGCCTACTTCTTAAACATGAGTCAGTGGAACTGGTGGCCATCACTGCAAAGTGTTATCAAACTCTACAGCTATTCTACAAGGAAGGGAAATGAAAGAGTAAGGAGGCAATGGCTTTTCTTTCTGCCACGTCTGCCCTTATATCAAGCCATTTCTGCACTGCATGTATTGTTCACTTTTGATTTGCAGTTTTTTCAGTTAAGGCCTTCAAGAAGACCTGCATCTGCTAGGATACTACCGGCAGTGTAGCCAACTGAGATATTACCACTGATAAGAAGCTCTGCCCCCCCTCCATTTCTGTATTCTGTGTTATAAACTGACCTGTATTAATAATTGTATCTTTCAATTGAGACTATCACTGCAATAATGTCTTTATTAGCCTATGAAAGCTTTAAAAAAGTGGATGTTCCAACTCATCCTCAATAAGAAGAAGGAGAAAAAAAAAAAGTAGAGCTTCATGTGCTGACTGTGGAGTGAATAAATTGTGCTCAGACTCCCTATTGTGAGTGGACTGGACCCAGTGAGGATTTGTTTCATAACCACCTGCAGCATTGCTGAAATTGGGTTGGAAGGCTCAACTTTGCTCAGAGTTATTTTAATTAGTAAATTAGGCTGAAGACTTGGTTCTTCGATATGAAAAACTTTTTTTGCTTCTTTTTAATATCTCAATAATATAGTGAATACTACTAGGAGTTGTCAGACTCCAGTAAACAGAGCTCCATTACAAGTAGAGATGCTATAGGTGGTCATTTTGGACTTCTCACTATTACGGACAAGAGTGTATTTCCTAGGGAGTGTTCACTTGTTTGCTTCAGCCCTTCAAAGTTTCTTCCTCTCACTAACTGTAAAAACTTAACACATAACAGAAAACTTGAAGCATTTTCTCCAGGCCAGCAGTGGACATGCTGCCAAACCTAGATGCTTTGATTGTCTGCTGGCTACGGTTAGCAGTGCTACTTTAGTTAAGCAACTGTGTTGGGGATCAATCAGAGGATTTAACCAATTGTTGGAGCTAAACTAATTTTCCATTTCTTATGGAGAACTACAGAAAGATTCAAAATCCAAACTAAGATGTTCAGGAATGAACATGAGATCTGCTTGGCTGTACAACTGCACTGGAAAAAATGCAAGGCCCTCAATTAGGTTGAAGCTCCCATTGTTGAAAAGTTTCTCTGATTTAAAACACAGGATAGAAAGGCTGAGGACAAAATGGCCCTTCTATCTCTACGTTCAGGAGGCTTCATCACGGTGAAGGGCATGCTCAGTGCACAGAAAATTCACTAAAAATGAAGTAAAGAATACAAGAAGAAAAGGACTCACCTCTGCGTCAGAATAAGGTATGTGTCCCTCCTCAGGCAGCTGACAGCACTTAGCACTGACAGCTGTTACTTTCTTTGCAATATCAAGCAGTACATCAGTTGTTGCCTGAGATACTTTCTTGGTGAAGTGGATCAGAATTCTGAAAAATCACAACATTGAAATAATGGTTCACATTTGAAGAATCATTTTTCAGTGCATCACTGAGTCAGACTAGGCAGTGCAGTCAAAAAGATCTGTTCAAAGCCCAGCTAACAAGTGCATTCTCTTAGTAGTAAGAGTAGCAGCCATAGATCTACAGCTTAGAGTGGGATGTTCTTTCCAAACAAGCTGCTAAAATCTTATACTGTCTACTGGGAAACTGATGTCTTCTGGAAACTCAGCTGAACAGCATACTAGGCTATGCACTCATCCAGCCTGCCTGCAAGGACCTTTTCACTCTTACAAAAGCATAGATATTCACTGTTTTTTATGCTTGAGGGCACTCATCAGGAACTGCTTATGCTTTGAGCAATTCAGCTTCTCCCTGCACAGCTAAGAGTTCACAGTTATCTTAAGAAGTTCTTGCATCTCTTGGGTGGGATTTTGCAACTCATTTTTCTGAAAGAAAATAAATTATTTGGTTAGCAACAGTTCAACAGAAGTTGAACAGAACTTCTTCTGATGAAAAGCTGTTTGTGATGAAATACTCACCTACTAAGTAGCCTCTTCCCAATCTTGTTGGTGTTCAGAATATCTATGACCCCATCATTATTGCAGCTGAGAGTACTACAAAATTTCGTGTTTTGCATGATCTGGCAGGGCAGACAAGTATTACTGGTGCACTGGGTGGGGAATGGATGTGCAAAGAGGGATGTCTTGTTTCGCTAGTACTTGGGATTAAACTCATCCCGAAACTCGGCCTTATTGACTGTTTACAATAAAGAGCTTGGTTCTCCTTCTAGCAGTCACTCAGCCTAAGCTTTGAAGCTGTCTTGGAGCTCAGAATCTGAGCTGAAACTTGGATCCTACCCTCGTCAGCAGCATCTCTGAGCAAAGGAACTCAGTCCCAAGGACGTGGAAGTGGACTGCTTGGAAGAATTACAGCATGACTTAAAAGTACCTCTAATCTTGGTTTACAGGCTCTGAGTCTTGAGACATGCACCGCTCATGACAGTTCAGTTCCTAACCTTTCTGTTCTTCCTCTTTTGTGCTAAGAGCATCACCTGCAGCATTTCCGTAACACTCAGCAGAGGTCTCAGTTTTCCAGGAGCGCTTCATAGCCCTTGGCAACTCTGAGAATCAGCCGAAAAAGAGACGTTCTTGCAACCTGCTGAATGTAATATAGTGAGAAGAAAATTTGAAAACCACTATCAAGCTCCACAAAGGTTCTAAAAAGCAGTGTTTTACTAGGAAAATAAACCATGTCTATTTTTGGATCTGCTAATGGCCCAAATATATTACGGAAATCATTGTGTGACTGCTTGTGTTTTCACCCCAGGTGGTTATCAACGTTCCATGTTTAAAAAATACAAAATGAAATCTTCCAAACATTTCAAGAGTTTTTTAAGGGGGAAATCCTCTCAGCCATATTTACCATTTTTTCCACCTCTCTCTGCTTTCTTAAATTCAAGGATTCTTGAGAGTTCTTATACTTATTAGGCGGGGAAAAAAGGCAGGGAAGAAAACAAGAAATGAGACAAGGACAATATAGGCATTTTTATTAGAATATTGAAATGGAAAAATATAGAAGATGTATCTGAAAAAATATTTTTCTTTTAAATCTTTTTGAATTAAAAATTAATTTTTTTGAATAAAAAAATCCATGTCATTTGACGGAAGTAGGTGAAAGAATAAAAGGTTTGAAATGTGTTTGCAACTTTTTCTAAGCACACACTAGTATTTCTTCAAGCTGTTCTATTCTGCCTAACTAACAGTATTTATTCAATGAAAAAAATAGCCCTTTCCTTACTGTTGTAGGAATGACACTCTACTATCCTGGTATGCCTTGCACAGCATGCTGGGATCTAGGCTCTGATATAGTGGAATGAAATCTTCATTGAGAGCTTTGAATGTTAAGAAACACTGATCTATTTTTGGGGTTGGCTTTACCCCAGCAGTCAGCTGTAGCACCATATGCTTCATGAAGCTTTTCTATCTGACAGATTCTATCCAAGAAATGGTGGTCTGTAAGAAAAAGTATCAGCAGGGAAGAGCATCAGAATTATGGGACTGTATAGAAAGTCTAATGTACAATTCTATCAATTTAGATTTTTGGTTTTTATATGTATATCTTCATATAAACAAAAAAGCTTTTTTAAAAAAAAAAAAAAACCTTTGGGGACAGATTCTGAGTGACTGTTATTTGTCAGTCTGTACTGGCTAGAAATAGAGCCATAATCCATGTTACTTGCCTACCAGTGGCTTCAAACACTCTGCTGTCTCCATGTAGTCAGCACACCAACATGTGAGATGATTGATGCTTTTCATCTGTTGAGTGATGCGTTTGTTCCTGCACTGCCTGAGGTACTGAGAAAATCAACAGAAGCACGTTTCTCACTTTCAGGCAACGTGACTTCCGGATTCGGAGACGTTGGTAACTATCTGTAGGGCCTGAGCTGAGAGAGAACAGTTAAATAAAAGCTGCTTAGCAAAGTCAATGAGACTAAAATTTCCAAGGGATTTTGATGCTGTTACATGCAATTTCATGAGGGAAATTTCTAGCAGTGTGAATTATTCATTCAAATGATACAAGATGGTGCCATAAATTTTTGTCCTTCCTAGTTCATTCCCCTTGCTAGTGAGTTATCTTGGTCTTTGTTTTCCTATCCAAAATTTTGTGTTGACTATAAATACTTCGGATGAGGACTCCTTCCTGTGTGCTTCCCCCTGCTTGAATTTGAGAGGCTTCTAGGTACTTTGCACTTATTTTCATTGTTAATAATAACCAGTAATAAAATGTTTCTCTGTCTCAGCAGGGTCAGTGATGTATTCTTCTGGAATCTTTATGCATTCCCTTCATTGCTCACATCTACCAGTTAGGATTAATAATTGCAGAAGAGAGTGTGTCCTGTCCCCGGTTGTTCACCCCGTCACACGTCCTATCACGCGTACAGCAGAGGGTTGTGTTGCTAGAAGTTTAGCCAGTAATTCTGTGGCTTGCTCTTCGGATGTGGAAGGTGGCAACCACTTCTGGATTCAAGCAAGCTTTAGGTATTTCTTTCTGAGCTTGATGTTTTTTAAAGCACAGGCTATATGAAAAAATATAAATGAAATAAGAAGTGTTAAACAGAAGTGTTAAACACTTACACTGCTTTAAAATTCTCTTCCTGTATATTTTTGAACTGATGGACAAGCTCACTTCTATGTTCTAGGAAACAAAATAAGGAAAGATGGGGCTTAGTTCTGCAGTTGCTGTGGAGAGATGTTGTGTGCATTTGATGCTTCTTTCAGGAATGTTGTAGAGGCACTGGGTTGCACTTTTCCAAAATGCAAGTGTTTTACCAGCCCTTCAAGGGAGTGTTACCTTTGCCTTCGGCTGGAATAGACCAAGCCCGTTCAAAGTATTTCATAGTATGTCACCCTTTGACTGCCTGGTTCTAGGGTATTTACGTTTGATAACTGTTGTGTCCTTTGGGCTTATTTAGGTCCCTTGAGCTCTGTGGTGTCTCAACGTGTGCACATTGGTCTGGAAAAACTCAGTCCCACCCTTACGATGTTTCTAATTCAGGTTTAGGAAATAACTCGTCTAAGTCAGCATGTACTACCTACAAGCACTGATTTTCACTGTTTTCTAACTAATATAGCTACAGTTTATTTGGAAAACATTGGTAGGCTTTTCATCTTGCAGGACCTGAAAACAAAGAACAGTTAGATAGGATTCTGGTTACATTTGAGGCAAGTCACCAGTGTCAGACCTCTGTAAGATAGGGGATCAGCTGTAAGCTTTTGATTTGTCCCCACATACAGTGAAAGAGAATTTCAAAAATGTATTTCTTTGCATACAGCAATGTGTGTCAATATGTAAATTATAATTCCTTTACTTACCATTCATGGAAAATATTTCAGTACCTAGACTAGTTGTTAGAACTCGTTAGATAATGAGAAGTCCTACACACTGAATAATGACATTTAAAATAACTGTGTTCTGGGATTTTGTTGATTTCCACAGACAGTAAATTTTTTTTACTTAAAAAAGTATTTTGTCTATAAGCAGTTCATTTGAAAATGAAAAGATTTTAATCTTTCACTCAGAAAGATGATTCATTTTTTTTTGATTTGTTTTTAAAGACAATCTTTAAAGAAGTGCAGCTTCTTCCTGTGAAGAAAATACTAAAAGAAATAAAAACTGTAACACTTGATTCAAAGCTTGTCATAGTCAGCATTTTGTACATACTTCAGTGGGCTGCAAATTAAGGCATTGTGCTTCATGGTCGATATAAAACTATGTGAAATGAACTCCAATCAGTCATTGACACAGCTGCAAAGCTTCTAAGGACATAACATGAAGGAAAACAATTCATCTAGCATGTTCTTACCAGTATCTTCAGCAAATCTGAGTTCTGCATGTAGCAAAAGTTTTTTAAAAAAAAAAAAAAAAAAAAGAGAGAGAGACAGGGAGAGAAATGAAGCATCTGTTTCATAATGGTGGATTACTTACAGGTGTAGATCATGGGAGCTAGGAAACACAGAAGATAGAAGGCAATGAAATTATTTATATTATATTCCCAAGCAGTGTCTGTAAATAATTAACCATACAGACGTAAATTGCTGTAAATTTCTATCAGACTTGGAGAAGGCTCCCAAACTGGACCTACCCTTGCCAAAAAAGAAATGTGACAAATTCTTTATTAGGTTTTTGATTTTTGACCTGACAGTTAGGAGAAGTCCTTATACATTCAGGTTTATGCTTTGCCCAGATAGATAAGACATTTTCTAAATTCAAATTAGGCTACAAGGTCTTCCAGTAAAATGAAAGTTAGTTTAATCCTATAACTGTGCTATCCTTTTTTTTTTTTTTTTTTTGATACTATTTGTTCAAAGTGATCTGTATTGGTATTGGCAAGTAACAGTTCAGCAGAGCTGAAAATGATTTTCATAATTCACTTAGGACTGCAAATCACTTCCAAAGAAAGAAATAAAACAGAGTTTAATTTTTGTTCATGAAGCAGCCCAAAAACAGACACAATGCACTTATGAATAGGGTTCAATAGCATTTAAGGGATCCGCTGCTGAAGCCAAAGGAAAATTCAGTGCAATTTAATCCTGGTGCCACTGACGTGGTCAATAGCTTTATGCTAGTTAAAATGCAGTTCAGTAGGGCTGATATGCAGAAAAGTCACTCTTGGATCTTTAGGCAAAAACAATAATAAATCGAGGATCAGACACCATCAAAAAAATGCAGTCATGCAGACAGCATTGCTTATTAAACTGCACTGTACTCGTAATTAATACAAAAAGCGCAACAACTGCTGGGCAGCAAGTCCAATGATACCCTTAATATGAGGTAAGAAAGAGCAGCCTCTGGATAGCTTGTAAAGAGTTAGGTTAAGAAAATATACACTCTTGAGTGGGTGGATGGACCCTTTTGTACAGTTTATAAGGCCCTCCACACCACATGTGCCTTCGATTTGATGCAGTCATAGCACAATAAAGGCTTCATAGCATGGATCTGAGAGCAGAAAGGGGAAAAGCAGGTAACCAAGAGGAATCGTGCAGGAACCTATGAAGCTGCCCAAATCCACTGCCCATTACCAAGTGCCCAGAGACACTCCACTGTATTTCTAGTAGTGCTGAGCACTGTGAGGTCTGCATCATAAGCTTGTGTGGAGGGCTTTATAGTCACCCGATAATTTTTCTGTCTGCTTCGTCACACACTGGAAATAAAACATTTCCAAGGATCAGAATGTTTTCAGATGTTCCCATGAAAGCTGAATGCTTGAAGGAATCCCTGTACATAAAGACTGTAGCTAATGGCTTATAAGAGACACTCCAGAGTCATGATATGAACCCCCAACTCCCACGTACCAAGACAGAGCAACTTGGGTCAAGAGATCAAGATGTTTCTTCAACTTCAGAGAAACTATGAAAAGTCAGAAGTAACATGGAAAAGCTATGACCAAGAGGTGACCACGCTTTCTAAGGATACCTTTAAAAAGGCCACTACCAATACCCCCTGTTTTGAAAGATTTAATAACCACCATTTTAAAAGAGATTGGAAATCATGCTTACAGACAACTATCACATTATGATTCAGGATATAGGTAGGGAGAGGAGGAGGTGGAAGAAGAAGAATTAGGGGCTGAAGAAAATAAGCAGTTTTGAGCAGGTGGGAGGGGGAGCTGATGAGCATAGATGATGGGTGTCAGGTGAAGAAATTAAAGATTGAGGCAGAAAGCAGAAGGAAATGGATGCAGCTCATTACTCTTTCACCCAAGGAGCAGAAAAGATTTTGTTTTCTTACCAGCTATGAGAAAACTAGCTGGTTCACTTCCAGATCTGGCTGTTATTCTGAAAATTTTGGTATCTGCAGAAAGAGCTTCTTTGTCCAGCAATGGCAGGTTTTGCATGTGTTATGAATTAGTGATTTGTGTGTGTGTGTTTGTTTTTGTCATAGGATAAGATATCCAAATATAGTAAATGGATTAATTTAGAGGAACAAAGTCTGAGGAGGTTTGCATTAAGTAGTGGAAATGGCTGACGCTGTCAATACTGTCTTTCACATAACGGATGGGTGTGAGCTTCCATGAGGATTTTTCTAACAAATGGACAATTCACAGGGATAAGTTTTGTGATAATTCTAAGTTCACTGTTTTGCCAGACTTTATAGCAGATAGATAGGAAGGAGATATGGGTCATACAAAAAAGTGAAAATGGAAAAAGCAAAAATTAGTCTGCACATGACAGAGGGGTTACAGCAGATCACGAACAATTGCTACTAGGTATGCGTTCACGATGCTGAGCTATAACGAGAAAGCCCCAAATGGGGCTCAAAAATAGCACCAGACCACAAGGCATGTAATCCTCGTATTACTCAGCATGACTAAAGCCTCTGTGTTTCAGGTTGTTATCTATTACTAGTTAGTTCTATTTCCTGGGACTCTTCAGTTTCTTCAGGGCGCATCAAGTCCCAGCAAAACTGCTAAGTGAATTGTCACAGGAAATGGATTGTACAACACTGCTCTGGCTGGTTGGATAGGCTGTTGCAAACTCAGTTGTTGGCAAACAAGGAGCCAGGCCTTCAAAAAAAAAAAAAAAAAAAGTCACTACTTTTAAATGAGTGTAATGTTTTTTGGTTAATTTCCTTCCTTGAATATTCAGGAATATTTCCACAGTCTTTTATGAGTTCTAGGGGCTGGAAGTTTTGATAGAAAGGACAGGACAACTAAAAAATCTCTTGAAATGGAATAATCTGTCTACAAAAACCCTTGCATGCAAACAAATTGCAGGTGTCATACTTAAGAGTTATCATAACAGTTGACTCTTCTGAAATTTGAAGTAATCATTCAGGTTTGACAGCAGAAATTTAAATATGTTTCAGAAAACAGCTGAATGATTTGCTACCTCTTTAGGGGACACTTACGTGGTTCAAGAATACTTTAGTACCACTGTGGTCTTAGCCCGAGCTGCAGGTATGCTTACTCCTCCGCCTTCGAAACTCAGACTCTACAAGGGAAAAAGGAAAGTCACCTCGTTACCAAAAAAAACTCAACTAAGCAAACAAAAACATGTCAGTTGGGGAAACCCATAGCCCAAAGAGAGTCGTGGAAGACTGCTCATCCCGGGAGCAAAAGCTGTTAAGGAAGATCTGTTCGAAGGTACATCACCAGTGGGGCTTGAGATACTACTGTAAATGCTGTAGCTCAGCTGCAATGATCTGCCGTTCTGTAAACTGAAAGGAACTGTCATGTCCAAGAGTGAAATATATGAAGTCCTGTGACTGGTAGAAATGGGGAGGGGGGGGGGGGGAGAAGCCATTCCTTTCCAATATTTTTGGTATGTTGATATTTGACTCCACTCTGCTCCTTGACACATTACTCTTTCCAGTATTGATAGATACAGCCTAGAAATCATCCGTCGATGAATTCATTATCTCTTTGGTGCCAGCGAATTACAAAAGTATTACTTATAAACATATTTTTGGTCTCTGCGTCTTAACTGGATCCTGGTAATCTGAGAAAGAGCAATTGAAGAGACATAGCAGAGTTGACAACAGTCTAACTAGCACGTGTAAGAATTGTAATGTGAGATGGCCTGGGTTTCAGCTAAGATTGGAAAACCAAGGAGAAACTTGCACTTCTTGATAGACTTAGTCAGCTAGCACTGACTTTGATGCTTCAGAACTTTTTCCCAGAGCAAGCTTGACTTGTTCTGATTAAATACAACTACGCTAACCTAGAGCAGGCTAGTCTTAGCTGTAGGGAACAACTGTCAGCTTTTTGGATGGTGAATTACAGAATGTGAATGGTCTTTATGAAGGCTGTTTGTACTTCCCTAATTTATGGAAGTACAACAGATATTGAGCAATGAAAGAAAGTGCATAACTGTGACTGATGAACAATTCTTGCTCAAGGTCGCAAAACTGTAAGTCTCTAGCAAGATGTTTGTGACTGCCTTGAAGTCATATAAATTCT